GTTGAGTTTAAATCACATCCCTTCAGCCGCAAAACCGAGTATAGATCATACCCAACTTCTAGAAACGTGAATATTATGGAATAACCTAATATCAATTAAATAGAAGGGGCAAGGCATCAAACCCAGAACGGCTAGCCGACCATCTTGTGAAGCTAGCCGGAAAACCCCTGGGCGTTTCTCCATATCCAACTTCTAAAACCGATGTAAATTATGTTCGTCAGAAGTATTGTGAGTGGTTTTGATTGACGTGACACCGACGTGTGTTGTTTGACTTGGTATTTATCCCATGTAGCGCTTATGTGGTACTCCCTCCATCTACTTTTGATAGTCATATTTCATCTTGACACACAGACCAAGGTTAAGTGATTCTACTTATCATCCATTTATATATGCTACTAGTTATTCCTCGTAAACAAGCGATTCATTAATATTTACATTTCTCGATGCCCATGTAGCCAATCTTGTGTGGAAGAATAGAGAGTCACGCATTAAATACAAGAAAGCTATTAAGATGATAAGTTGTTGGATTGAAATATGCCTATCAAAAATAAATTTTTCAGATTTGGAAATATGACTATCAAAAGTAGATGGAGTAATAGAAGAAGATAAAAATTAAAACCATTAGTAGGACCCACATGTTGCGGGATTGTTTGGAGAAAATAAAATAAATAAGTGGGACTCATATGTCATAACCCATATTCTCCTCCTCTCTTCTCTCTTACCCATCTTCTCTTCTAAGCTCATTGGCCTTCTATCATCCTTCCTTAGTGTCGGCCCCCATCTACATCGGCCCTAAGATTGACAAGCGTATCATGGCCATTAGTGTCGAGCTCTTCACCGGCGCTCGTGGCCACCCCACACCAAGCTTCCTTTGTACCGAGCTCCCCTCCACACCAAGCTCGTGCCGACCTCCCTCATCCACTCCTCTACCAATCCTAGGATAGAAGCCGTTGGCTTTAAGGGCTAGATCGATATGGCAACAACGTGGTGAAATGAGGGAGAAAGAGGCAGTGGCAACACGTGAGGACAAAGGACAAGGGAACGTGTGAGGACACGTGAGCTCCAACTCCGTCCGTGTTTTCTTGGGCTATGGCAGCGGAAATGGGGGAACTCAACAAGGTCGGGTGTCGCGCGGTCCCATCCTCCTGGGCTGCTGCCACAGCTGAGCACGACTATCCTCGGGCTCCATCTTGATGGCCAAGAGCTCAAGCGGGGCGCTATCTTTTGAGGCATAGAGTGGGCACCTGCTTGGGGAGTAGAGGCGAACACTCAAGGAGTGGACAGAGGCTCGTCAACATGGGAGTGTCACACCTACACTACCGCGGCCCTCTTCCTCCCCTCCTTCCCCGTCATAATGGTGAGCTTCTACCTCATCTCCTTTGAAGCCGCGATGTCCACCACCACACCTTGTGTTGGCTTTGCACGACTTCGTTGTTGCCTCGGCGAGCCCGCCTGCACCGTCCTCACACACTTTCACCCCTTGAGAGGCTGAAGCCTGAGGAACACGACATAGCTCTTCTTCCTCCACTCTCTCAGATGAGGACAACAGGATCACCCGTCGTCTTCCAGTCTGGCGATTGTTCTAGCTCAGTGACACCATCACCGCCTAGCTCTTGTCCTACCGGCCGCTGCCCATTGCTTACCGCACTTCTCCACATCGATCGTCGCCTGGAGGGAGGCCTCAGATGATATGGGAAAGAGAAGGCAGAAGGGAAGAGGTGGAGAGAGGAGTAGAAGACTGGTTGCTGACATGTAAGGCTACCTGGGTCGCACACTGACTCAGCACCACGTCAGCCAAAACCAGGCATGCGCATAATACCACCTTAGGATTTTATTTGTACAGGTTTTAAGAGTTGAGAGACACATTATATCTCAATCGCAGTTGAAGGACGTGATTCAAACTCGACATCAAAAAGAGGGGCTTAAAGTGAACTTATTTCCAAATCCCGGTACACACCAACCATGATGGGCCTATTGGACCAAGAAATTTGGTCTTTCAATTCCAAATGAGGCCTAACCTAAGCCTAGATAAAAGAGGGTCCAACGAGTGAAGGGCACGCAAGATGAAGCTGTAAGCTGTTGTCCATTTTATTATCCAGTATTGAGCCGACAAAATCATGCCTCCAGCTCGTCGTTGCTATTTTGTATAGTGCAACTCTACTCCACTTGAAATGTTCCCTGCTCCACAGCTAAAGGTTCGCACCGTCAGCTGTCACGTGGTTGAGGTGCACACCCTGAACATTTCCTACAATTTTCTTTTTGCCAACTTGCGCGCTGCCAAATGACAGTCGATCGTGGTGTCCGCAGCTGTCGTTTTTCTTGCTCACGGCCTTCCAGCAAAAACTAGAACGTTTGTTTCGGACATGGTATATTCCATTATCACATTTGTGAGCGATTTTGAATTTGGTGCGTTTCATCAGCACTCGTGTAAAAACTCATGTGAAGTAAAATGTCCAATTGCTGCCGTCAATTGGTATTTTGGTAGTGGAAAAAGTTCGAATTACCTCCAAAACTATGTGACAGGACGAATTAACCCTCCTCTATTTAAAAATCCGACATATTTCATCCTCAACTTTTTTACCTGACGAATCAACCCCTAACAAACTTCGAAACTATTTTGGTCATACATGATACACACGTGGTGGTCTAGTCAGCATAACATATAAAAAAGGGGAGGGTCCACATGTTGTGACCGAGAGAAGATACAAAACTATATGTGGTAGTCTAGTCAGCATAAAATATATATAAAAGGAAATAGTACGAATTACCCCCCTGAACTATCGCGGTCGTCTGAATTACCCCCCCGAACCATAAAACCGGGCATTCTTCACCCTCAACTATACAAATCGGATAAATTACCCCCCTCGACCCAACCCGCGGTGGTTTTGGTCCACGTGGCGTATGCGTGGCAGTCTAGTCAGCACTCTAATTATAAAAAAAAATTATGGGACCCACATGTCATCTCCTCATCCACTCATCCTCTCTCTTCTCTCTCACTCTTGCTCTCTCAAAAGAGAGGACACGCGGCGGCGTGCGGGGGAGGACGCGGGCACGCGGCGGCGACGAGCGGGCGGTGGCGGCGGCGCCGGGGGAGGACGCGGCGGCGGCGGGCGGCGCCGAGGAGGTGGCGGAGCGCCGGGGGCGGGGGATGAGGAGGCGGCCGCTCGGCGCTGCTTCCCCCCTCCCTCTCTCTCTCTCTCTGTGTGGCGCCGTCGGGACAACGGGCAAAGTGGGGGCGGCGCACCTCCGTCGCCATCCTCGTCGTCGTCCTCGTCATCCCCCGCCGCCGCCGCCTCCGCGTCACCCGTCGCCGCCGTGCGCTGCATCCTCGTCGTCGTCCTTCTCATCCCCCCTCGTCGGCGCTGCCGTGTCCTCCCCGGCGCTCCACCACCGCCCGCCCGCCGCCGCGTCCTCCCCGGCCCACCGCGCCCGCCGCCGCGTCCCCCGCCTCCCGCCCGCCGCCGCGTCCGCCCCGGCGCCGCCGCCACCGCCCACCCGCCGCTGCCGCGTGCACGCGTCCTCCCCGGCCCGCCGCGCCCGCCGCCGCGTCCTCCCCGGCGCCGCCGCCACCGCCCGCCCACGTCGTCCCCCGCACGCCGCTGCGCGTCCTCCCGTTTGAGAGAGAGAGGAAGAGTGAAAGATAGAAGATAGAGGATTAGAGGATGAGGAGATGACATGTGGTCCCACAATTTTTTTATAAATAGAGTGCTGACTGAACTGCCACGCGTACGCCACGTGGACCAAAACCACCGCGGATTGGGTCGAGGGGGGTAATTTGTCCGGTTTGTATAGTTGAGGGTGAAGAATGCCCGGTTTTATGGTTCGGGGTGGTAATTCAGACGACCGCGATAGTTCAGAGGGGTAATTCGTACTTTTTCCTATATAAAAAATGGAGGGCTCACATGTCGTAACCGAGAGAAGATACAAAACTGACAAGTAGCATCCATTATTTCTTTTTTGCTGACTAAATTGCCATGTAGGACCAAAACTATTTTAGAGTTGGTAGGGAAGTAATTCGTGCGGTATTAAAAATTAATGATGTAGAATGTCTAATATTTAATTGAAGGGCAATTCGTACTAATACAATACTTCAGGCAGGATACTTCAAAACTTGTTAGGTATTTGAAACAAGAAGGCAAATCTAAAAGGTTCTTTCTTAGACAATGATTCCCAAGGCACTGTTCCTATTTCACTGTTTCTTGATCACGGGACTGTCCGGACACTGCCACGCACGGAGGAGGATGACGACCTATCGAAGCCCATGTCTACACACGTACTAGTACAGTAGTACAGAGAAAAGCTAGCGCTGCTACTGTAGTACGTGCCGGAAAGTTTGTCCCCATGTCTAGTGCCACCCAGTCCCCGTGTGGTGACCCTGTCTGCTACGACGGCTACTCCCTCCCACGCACGGACGCGCACAAACACAAAGCCGTGCACAAACACAAAAGCCGTGCCGTCCATTGCACACATTGACGTGCAACCCGACGCCCCCGCGCCGCTTTGCACGCGCGCGCCCGGCCCCCATGCCTTGACCACCGCAGCGATCGCCCGCCCCCGAATTCCGGCCGGCACCGCACCGCCTCACGCAGGGTGATCCGCCAATCCCCAGGCCCGAAAACCACATGGATCCCCGCGTCATGTACTCCACCCATGGGCAGGCGCGTGTCAGCCCCTGTCCCTTCGCGCAGGCAGCCGCCTGCGCCTGCATCCAACCGCCCGCACGAATCCCCGGCCTGATCCCTTGTCCCGTGGCGTGGCACGTAGTACTAGTACGTGCATCATGCATGCATACTGCCAGCCAACACAGGGGAGGAGCACTGGCCTGCAAAGCGGCAGATTCCAGATCTGCGCGCATGTTCCAAGACCTGCGTGATTCCATCGCCGCGAAGGATCCAACGGGGGGGAGAAGGGATGGCTGCTGGCAGGGCGCGCACGGTTCGAGACACCCAACGTGGACCAATCATGCAACCACAGTGTTGTCTTTCTGGAGAGAAAACTAGTGTATCACCAATCATCACCGGCTCCATTCCATTCCTTAATTGCTTATAATTAGTACTAGTACAGTAGTACTACTACACCAATCTATATATTCCATCTTACAAAAGTGTTGAGATAGAAAGAAAAGAAATACAAAAAATAATAAATAATTAATTGAATTATTAAAAGCCAAGGAGAGAGAGAAAGAAAAAGAAAACCATGGCACCACTTTACGGACACCAGCTTACTATATTATACACATACAGCAACCCTAGCAGTAACTTGCTGGTGGCGTGGTGGTGCCCCCGTTGCTCCCATCACACGTTGGCCGTGGGAGCAACTGGTTATTTAGCGCATATATATATATATATATATATATATGTATATATATGTATATATATATATGTATATATATGTATATATATATGTATATATATATATATATATGTATATATATATATACATATTTATGTATAGTACATAATTAATTTAATTAATTCCACTGACAATTCAGCACTGCAATTGGAGTTAGTTGTGCCTGTTTTTTTTCTCTTTCTTTTTTTTCTTCATTTTTGAGAGGATTGTTTCTTCGCCGGCGCCGCTTGGCCCCGTACCGCCTTGTGCACGTTGCCCTTGCTCTTGCCCTTTTTCTTGGGGTGAACGGATCCCGGCGACGACCGGGGGATGAACACGCCGGTGCCCTTGCTGCCGCACAGCTGCTGCTGCTGCTGCTGCCACGCCCTGACGGCGGCGTTGTCGCCGGCGCCGATCATGCCGCCGCCGTTGTTATAGCTGGCGGCGTGGTGGTACAACGTGTAGGCCGGTGGCGCCACCATCGACGCGCCCATCGGCACATGGGCGAGCGAGAATCCCTGTTGTTTTTGTGTGATTCCAACCAAATGGGCTAGCTGTTAGTGTCGAGGCGTTGCTGCGATGTAGGGGCGCACATGCATATGGTCGATGCGATTGATGTGATGCGATCATGGCGGAGAAGAAGAAGAAAAAAAAACACTTTATCTATATTTATTCCTGTATAAACTAAAAATCCAGTGGCCAATAGCTAGCTGTAGGAACAACATCAACAACAACAGCAACTAGCTAGTAGGAGCAGCTCATGGCAACTTGCGTGCATGCAAAGATTTGGTGAGCACCCCGGGATCTTGTCACGGAGCATGAGATGGGATTATTAAACCAGCATCATGCATGCAGTTAGGCCAGTCACAATGGCTAGTGTCATTGCACGGCTACCCAAAATATTATACCATCTTCTCTCAAATGAAATCTTTTATGAAACAATCCCCACAGTGGAGGGGTTTCACTTTGACGTTTCCAAGACTAAGCAAAGCATTTAATTGATACAAGTTGCTGGGATCATTTGTACCCAAAATCCGGCGCGGCGCGGGAGAATGCGGAGGTCGCACGGCGGAGGCGGACGCAAGAGATCCGGTGAATGAAACGAATCGGCCTCAACGGGGGTTTCACTCTGTTACCGAGGACTTGGAAACGACGCTGACGAGTTTCACCAGGATGAAACTCTTTCCTTCTCTCTCATCCCCATTTCATGCAAATAATCATTTTTTATTCAGTCTTACCCCTATTAAATGTGCATGACACACCAGTGAAACCCCCATTGTGACTGGCCTTATATGTAAATGTACGAGTAATTATTTTAGCAAAAGAGACATGCAGTACGGGTCGCATGATGAGGTGTCGTGTGCAAGCAACGTCGATTGGATTAGAGCAAGTATAATAGTTAGTTATAAGCCTACTATAAACTTAGGTAGAGGAAAGAGAGAGCGAAAAATCAAAGGTGTGGGCTCTCATACAGGAGCTAGCTTATTACAAGCTCTAAGACAAATACATTAAATGCATAAGTGAGAGATAGAGAGAAGAGAAGAACAATATAGCCAACCTTATAGCTAATCTATTATATATGTTGGCTTTAAGATGAGCTAATAGTAATAAATGAGCTATACTATTATCCTTGCTCTTAGGGCACCCACAATGGTTATCTATAAGAGATCTATATCAGCATATTTTCCTACTTGGAAGATATTAAATGAAGAGAGAGAGCAAAGCTATCTACTAGCTTTTAGAGATAGTCTATAGAGAAAAACGAGGCAATGCATGAGAGAGCTATAAATACCCATGTAGACATACTATTGAGGTGGTTTACTATTAATCTAGTCTATTCCTGATATGTACATGATTTATAGAGAACACCTTAATTTACCATTGCGGGTGCTCTTAGAAGCTTGGAGCACCAAGCAACATCGATCGATCGAGCGCTTGTCGCATCGCGTGCAGGCCTAAAAACAACTAAAATTCTTTTGGCTATCAATGCGTGCGAGGAGAGTGCCGACCGACCATCTCCGTATGCATTGCTTAACTGGATTTTTTGGAGCTACCAATTACGCACCGTGCAGCAGAGGATATGACAAGATAACAATTAGTTAAGCAGCGATTAGTGGGGGCTTAACTGGAGGTTTGGAGCTAATTAATAAGCTGTTAAGTTAGCTATTACTCGCTATACTAGTTAATTAAACACCTAACTAATGTGACATGTAGCGACGCGGATCGTCTGCAGCCACGGGCAATGGGAAGACGTTTCTTGCAAGTTTCTAGTTCAAGAATGGCCAGTGAAAGAGACATGGCTGTGGCTCTGCATAACACCCGTGCACATCATGGGGCCCTTCCAGCGGCTAACGATTTGGATTAGAGCAGATTTTAGTTGGCCCATTGTGCTCTATCTCGCTGGGAAATGGCACTTAATATAAAAACAATAACCACTAAAAAAACAACCATTTCCGTGCTATCTATCTGTCCTAGTACTCAGGGTTTGCTGACAACTTAACATGAATTTCACAAAACATAATATCGTACGATTCCTCCAAAACGAAATGCTAAAAGGCACTTTAGATTCAAGGCTTATCGACTGATGATGATTCTTTGCTTGCGTCTGTGGGGCCCAAGGAGAATTTGGCAACAGCAACACAATATGTAAATGGTCAATTTCCTACGAAAGGTGTTTGTTACTCCTCTTACTTACACTACAGGCTCACACTGACGTACATACACAAGTGAACGAACGAATATCGTAGTATATAGCTCATAAGTGCACATATGCACACTTATGACTCATGAGCAGTAGTGGTAGCTCAAAGCACACGCATATGCACATGCAACCGTGCAACGGTGTCATGTATAGTAGCTACGGAGTAGCTAGCTATACCGTCGATCATAATTAGCAGCCAGCGAAAGTGTGCCGTGCAGCTAAGTCCTAACCAACAACACAGCACGGCAACAGCAGACAGCACGTAGCACCTGCGCACATGGCGCGGTAGGAAGCCGAGTTTAATGAAACCAGCTGACGCTTAGCCAGCTACGCGAAGAGCAAAAGCACCTGTTCATAAGTTGGCCACTCCTGTTCTTGAATATATATATACATATTTTTGAAATTTCGTCAATCTATTGGGGGGCGAAGAACAAAGGCTTGATCGGTGTTTCGAAGGAAAAAAAAAGAATAATTAAAGATTGGTTATGCAATTTGGTTCGGTTTGGTTGTGTGCAAGGGCAACCACGTGCGTGGAGGCGCTGCAACTACCAAACCAACAGCCGCGAGAAGGCGAGAGAAGCCGCAAGAAGAACCCAACGCCCCCAACCGAAACGAGCTAACGCTACTAGCTAGCTCACATGCACGCGTGCACACGCATGCTTGATGAATGATATGATATGATGACGACGCGGCAGAAGAGGAATACAAGAAAAAACAACGGAGGCTCACCGGGATGGGCGCGGCGGCGGAGGCGGGGAAGCGTGCGGCGCCGAAGTCGGCCGCCTCGTCGTCGTCCGTGATGAGGAGCGATATCCGCTTGCTGAGCTCGGCGAAGAACACGTCGTCCTCCATCATCTCCACCTCCATCCTTTTCTCCTCTCCTGCTGCGATTGACCTCGAGGTTGGAGACCGGAGCTTGAGCTTGAGCACGAGCAGCAGGAACTAGGAAGGGATTAGCACTAGCAGTAGCAGCAGAGGAAGAAGCAGAGGAGGAGGCGTTGCGTTTGCCTTGGCCTTTGCCTATGGCGGCCTCAGGGGGAGACGTTCCGCTTTAATAAGCTCGCACCAGCCGTCATCAGAGTTTGGGGTTGGGGTGGCTGGCCGTGGGCCCCGTGGAGCAGTTGGCCAATCCCTACTCGGAAAGGTCGTGGGCCCCACGAATGTGCAGCGCGCTGAGCAGTTCGCCAGGTGGACCCCACATGTCAGAGTTCCGGGATTTCCCCATCCACGAGAAATCCCCCGACGAGATGTGTCCGAGACGTGCGCGCGTACAGTAGAGCTGAGAGCTTATCGCAATTTGGGTTCTGCGATTAGGGAGGGGGTAAGGGTACGGTACCAAGGTCCGACACAGATAGCGTTGTCGGATTAGACCGATTTGAGCCACAGGTATAGTCTGATCTTGACGTGGGAGATCCGGATCAGAAGATGCAAAAAGCCGTCCTTTTTTCTCTCACGAATTGTATCAGAATCGAAGCTGGTTTCTGTTTACTCGAAAAGGATTAGTCCCCAGCCTTGGTGGTGGTTAAACAAAAGATCTCAAGGCACAGCGAGCCCTTTGTTACAAACTTGAGCGTACACCATACACCATGCTGCTTTACAGAACAAACCGGGGCCCTAGTACTACTACTACTACCCGTTTTATTACCACACTGCACAAACCTTTTACTACCACGCTGCATATACATATGCCACAAGGCACTGTACGAATGCGACGGCGTGACCACACGATGATTCCCGCGGTAACGTGACGAAGAAAGCGACCGGGGTTTCGCTATTTTAGGCGCGATATTACCTGATGATATTGGTACAATAAAGCGTATGGAGTGTTTATCCTCTTTGTTCGCAGGAGGAGGATGAGGCTGCTCCGGCGCCGAGTCGGCCACCGAAGCCATCATCATGGCGTGAAAACACCCCCGCGATTGGGGCCGGATTACGCTGCACTGCACCGCACCGCCTCCCCCTCCCCCGCCCCCCCCCCCCCGAGCTGCGCTGCGCCCATGCACATGGTCGCCAGGGTGGGGGCGCACCGCCTGCCTGCCTTTCAGGCTGGGACCCCCAACGCCCTTTTGCCTGCATCAGCGGCTGTCGCATTTGCGCTGATTTGTTCCCAGCAAAACACCATGTGTGCATGTCAAGTCCGGTCCAGCCCGCCCGTCCGTCGGCACAGACTGCAGTGCTAAGTACGCCTGGAAATCGTGTTTAGATCATCATCGGGTTGGCTGGCGATGATGAACTCTGAACTGGGTTGGTGCGGTGCACCACCGGCGCATGCAGAGCAAGTTGCAGGTAGGCAGGCTGTGCACAGCAGCCACAGGACGGGCGGCAGCGGGCAGCTGCAGCGGTTGGTTGCCGTCGTGGGCTGGGCCTCCACCACCAGGTCGGCTGCGCGCGCCCGTTCCTATCCGGAAACCCGGCGACGGGATTGGATGGATGAGCGAAATATACTAGGGAGAGCGAGAGCGGCGGGGAGAGGACGCGGGCGCTCCACGTCGTCCTACTCCCGCTCGGTGGGGGGCCGCCTCCGCCGCCGTCTGGGGTCAGCCGTCAGCAGCCGCTCGTCGCTCGAGAGAGAGAACGGGAGCCCTGTGGTACGGGCTGATCGCGACGTCGCGTTTTGGACGGGAGCACGAGAGCTAGGACTAGTACTCCGTGTATGTGGTGATCCGTGGCGGTGTCACGGTGTGGCTGTCGCGCGGAGCGGCCGGTTGATCCGTGGGCGCCGCGGCTTGGCTCGGCTGGGCCCCGGCGCGCACGGGCTTTGTTGTGTACGGCGCGCGCTTCGCGGCCTCGCGAGCGCCGGGCGCGACGTGCGGTGCGGTGGTTTTGTTTGCGGGGGTTTACGCCGATCGATAGCCCAAGCCCGAGGTCGGCCGTGCCGCAGTGGCAAGAGCGAAGAGCGTCTCGGGGTGTTGCCAGTGCGGCGGCGGTGAGGTGAGGGAGACGTTGTTTCACTCACCCTTGTCGCCGTCGCTGCCGATTGCTCGAGAAGTCGAGATGGACGGAGGAGGAGTAGGTAAAGCGGTACTCAGCCAATAGGAGGCGGCGGAGGCAGGCAGAAAGGAGAAATTGGACATTCTAAAGTGTGGGTTTCGCCACAATGCCATTCCGCAGAATGGCGTTGTTAAAATGCCACTTCCAACCGATGCCAAACCGTTGCTTTGCCATATTGGCCATTTCACAAGATTTTCACCATTTTTCCTACTTCAATGTACCAAAATACCCCCCCTCTCCCCTGCAGTTTTTCTCCTTCTCCGGCGAATAAAAGAGGCGGCGTTGTGCGAGGAGGTGCGCGCCGCGCCGCCCCTCCCCGGTTCCCCACCGTGCCGCCGCCTCTCCCAGCCAGCCGCGCCGCTGTCTCTCACCGCCAGCTGCGCCGCCTACCAGCCCCCGCCCCCGACGCGCAGCGATGCACCGTCACCCTCGCCATCGGACCGGGAGGCCGCGAGGCGTACATGGTGGCGAGGACCCGAGCAGCAGGGGGAGCAGGAGAAGAGGAGGCGCGGGTGGGTGAGGCGGTGGGGGAGACGACCGGGAAGAGGAGGAAGGCCGTGGGTGCGGCGGCCATGGCCAGCTCGGCTAGCGGCGGTTGGCCGCCTACCAGCCCCCACCACCAACGCCTCCCCCACCGTGCCGACTCCTCTCCCACCAGCTGCGCCGCCGCCTCCCCCTGGCCCTATGACGCCGCCGTCACCCTCGCCATCGGACAGGGAAGCGGCAGAGGAAGCAGGAGAAGAGGAGGCACAGGTAGGTGGGATGGTGGGGGAGACGGCAGGGAGGAGTAGGAAGGCCGCCTGGCCGGTGCGGTGGAGCAGAAGCGGAAGTACTTGCCGATGGCCATGTTGCAGGCGCCGGTGACGAGGCCGGTCTCCTTGGCCTCCGCCATGGTGAGCTCGGCGTCGCCATTGGTGGCAGACCGAAGGGCATTTTGGTAGCCCGGGTGGGAAATCAGGTGGAAATAGAATGAAATGGCTCAAATGGCAAAACAAATGTAAACCCAGTCTTGACAGTGACATTTTAACGACGCCATTCCGTGGAATGGCATTGTGGCGAAACTCACTCTTGGCAGTGGCAGAATAGCCAATTTCTCGGCAGAAAGAGGCGGTGGCCGGTGGGATTTCCCAGCTTTAGGCGACGGTGGCATCGTCCATCGTTGATATGCAAAATTAAGAGCGCTGAAATCGATCCTACTGAGACTTGGTTTCAGGTTATTTGAGACTATAAAATAAGCACGCTGGTTGACGCGTTATTTTCATAGCCCGTGTGTAATCTTAATGTTGAAATTTTATCGAATCATATCAGAGTCAATGATTCTCTAATGTTATAAAATTTGATTATTAAAAGTACAGTTCGTCAAAATTAACACCTTAATTAAAGTCAATAATGTATTTTGTGAAAGCAAGGAGTATTTTTAATGGTATATTATATTTACATGTGTTTTACGATAGTTTAAAATATCAATTTCTCAATACCTAATTTTTAAGAAAATAATTTTAATTCGTTTGTTTGTGTTCTTGAATAATTATCACGAACTTGGTTTCATTTATCATCCATTAGCTAGACATGTGTTCATAGTTTTCTTCTCTTTTTTCACAACATAAATAAATCCGGTCTCTTCTTGGGACATACTACCTCCATATTTTAATATATAACGCCGTTGACTTTTTGTTCAACGTTTGACCATTTGTCTTATTCAAAAAAATTTATGTAATTATCATTTATTTTATTATGACTTGATTTGTCATCAAATGTTCTTTAAGCATGACATAAATATTTTCATATTTGTACAAAAATTTTAAATAAAAAAAATGGTTAAACGTTGGTCGAAAAGTCAATGACGTCATACATTAAAATACGAAAGAAGTATAACGCGTGCACTTAACTATTACAATCACAGCATACAGTTATTTTCATGCCCTTTCTAAAAAATAATTTCATGCCCCCAACATTGAAAAAAATTACTATTATCATATATAATTTTTTATTCGATGTTCTTTAACAATTGTGCATATAAGTTAAATTTTCAATGAGCAGCTCATATAAGCTAGCTTAATAGCTATGATACGTTATGTTAATACATGAAAACAAGTAATCAAGTTACGACATGGGGTTTCAGGTACACAGACATGGAACGGTTCTAATGATCAGGTGGAAGCTGCGGCCACGGGAAGTCTCTCGATGTTTCATTTTTATCACCTCACTCGTCATTTTTTTTTACCTCATACTTCTTCCGTTTCACAATATAAGACTTTTTAGCATTGTCCATATTCATATAGATGCTAATGAATCTAGATGAATGTGGGCAATTCTAGAAAGTTTTACATTGTAAAACGGAGGGAGTATATAGCTCCAGTTTATCTTCATATCCAACCCTGCCACTTGGTCCAATCCAAATCCGGCAAAACGGCCGGCTTGAGATTAGTTGATTGATTATGCTATATTGCTATCATACGTTGCTTTGGTTGAGGCATTGGCGAGAAACAGGGTGGCAGACACCAGCGCGCTCCATTCAGTCACCGAAGTGGGGCATGGAGGGAGTGAGTCAGTCAGGAGATGTTCTGGGGACGTTTTCAAGAAGCAAGAATACGATCTAAATAATACTGGAGTATGGTCGAACAGATCAACTGATAATGTTGCTTATAATTACTATACATCATAAAACATCTTTTATACCGAAACTTAAAATAAGTATACATCAAAAAACATCTTTTATACAGAAAGCCAAATCACCAAGCAATACAAGGAATGGAACTAAATGAAGACAACGCAGTGAAGTCAAAACTAACTCTTCTGTTGTGATTTCCAATATATTTTCTCCCACACTACCATACCCCCACCAGAAATATCTGCTCATGGTACATAATGTCAAAAAATAATGTTTATTCGTGCCATTGGAGCAGCTAGCAACGAATGATATGCTCACATCATATTAAATCCTTTGTTTTTGCAACCCACTACCAGCAGTACTCGAGTTAATCTCAGCCTTCCTAGAGCTGCTACAGTGCAACAGTTCTTGCCACCACATGGACCGTTCGATCTATACCGATGGATTTAATCCATCCGTCATCTCCAGCGCACGGACATTGCAGGCAGCAGCATTGCTGGTGGCTGGCCCAATCCCCTCTCTCTCCCACGCCTCGCCCTCCCAAATTCCCCATCGCTTCCTCCTCCCAAATTCCCCGCTGCTTCCTCGCAGATCTAATTGGCGCTGCTGCCTCCCCACGGAGCTCCATCTCGCGAAGCTACTTGGCGCCGCCACCGCGGTGTTCCGCCCCGTCGAGCTCGCGGGGCTGGCCGGCGCCCTTGCCACCTTGCCGTCCAGCTCGCAGAGCTGCTCGGCGCTGCAGCGGCGTTCCATCCCGTCGGCCTCGCGGAACCAGCCGGCGCCATCGCCACCTTTCTGTCTGGCTGCTCAGCGGCGCCGCCCCCGCGGTATTGCACCCCGTCGAGCTCGCGCAGCTGGCCGGCGCCATTGCCACCTTGCCGTCCAGCTCGCAGAACTGCTCGGCGCTGCAGCGGCGTTCCATCCCGTCGAGCTCGCGGAACCAGCCGGCGCCATCGCCACCTTGCTGTCCGGTTGCTCAGCTTTCCTCTCCTCTTCAGTGCTGCTTGGAGATTAGGATCACAGATGTTTGAGCAAGCAGTAAATCGACAGAAGGTAACCACCTGTTGTAGAGCTTTTCCTTTCATTAGATCCTCATGCTTGCTATAGTAGGGTGGCTGGGTGGGGAACCAAACCCTTGTCAGAAGTAAAATTAGAATTATATTTATCTGCATGAATTGATGCACTTGCACTATTAACATGCTCAAATATCATGTGGATGCATGGGTGGGTCAATGTCAAGATCCTCATATTATATATGGTTGTTCGATAATTTATAGTTGTGAGTCATACATGACCATAATGGCATCATCAATTCCTGGATTTGCAGGTGCTCACTTTCTGGACTTAATTTGTTTTTGTCATAGATCACGAACACACTGAGAGATATAAATACGAGGGTTCGTATGTAAGTTGTATCTTACCAACTATTTACCAGTTTGTCAAGTGGGTGCTAATCTCTGGTTAAAAGAAAATAATATGATTTCACTTTGTCAGTTTTCACGCACTATGTCTTACTGTGTGCCATGATTTTCCACTCCTTTTTACCTGAACTGCTCCTTTGGTGTGGTCATTTTATACTTATTTTAGGCACTAAACGTCGGTGTACCTGTTACTAAACATTTATTCTGCTCCTTTGGTGTGGTCATTTTATACTTATTTTAGGCACTACACGTCGGTGTACCTGTTGCTAAACATTTATTCAATTTTACTGTTCTTTGGTTCCTTTGCCAAAGCGCGTTGAACTTGAACACTGTCTAATTAATCGATTTACCAGCCGACTGTTGCATATATATATTCCCTTTGCTTTATTGATGTTGCACCCTGATTTTTACAGTCCAAAAAGGTATATTGAATTGAATGATTGTTGTTTTAGGGAGTGGGTGTCTATATTCCTAGCCCAGTCCTTTCACATGGGCAACTCTATGTTGCGTTCTCACGTGTGACTTCACCTGATGGTCTACGGGTTTTGATTGAGAATAACCCGCCTGAGTATATAGACAGCACCCATAATGTTGTTTATAGAGAAATTTTTGATGATTTAGGCCAGCAGGCAGCACATGAATGATCCACCACAACTCCAACAGTATAATCATCTTTGTTGGTTACAATCCTTTCCCTAAAGTATGGCCTTCCACTTTATAGTTTATTACTGGTGCTAAATTTAAGTTCATTGTATTCTTTTTACCCCTCATGTGCTTACTACAATATTGACTTTACTTCAGTACTTTGCATGCATGTTAATGTCGTGTTTCCTCGCATCTTTACATTATTCTAGATGATGCAGAAACATATAGCTTTTAAGTGGACGCATTTTAGTGAAATAATCTATATAGCCTTCCCCTCTTGTGATATTTTACCTTTTTATTCACCAGGTGGCCAAAATTGGTTACGATGCATTCTCTTACATATCACCTTCATTCTACATTTTTATTAGTAATGCTAAATTGAACCCCATTCTGTTTCTTTGTCTCTCATGTACTTACTAAAATAAATTTACTTTTCTTCACGACTTTGCAGGGCTGTTAATCTGGTGCTTCCTTATATCTTTTTGCAGTGTTCTAGATCTTGTAGGAGCATGCAGCTTGTAAGTGCAAACATTTTGCATTATATCATACTGTTAAGGTAAAGATATAACTATTTATCCCTCATTTCTTCTGCTATGCTGATACATACTCCATGTAGATCTTATTTCTCTAATTTATTTTACTCGTCTGCCTGATCAGCGCTGAACACTAGATTCAATATGTTCTATATTAATACATGCTCGTGAAAAGAGACACTTATTGCACATGATCACCAAAATGCACATATGGATGTTTCTTTGAATAGTTTTTCATATGTTTCTTCGTTGCGGTTCCTGTCTGCTCACTATGGACCATATGGATACTATAGTTCATTTTCCATCTACATGTTCTCTTCTAATCTTCCTGAAAATACTATGGTGATCAACTCTGCTTTAGTAGTTCAGACATTGTACTGGTCAAACTCTTCCTCTCTAACAATAGGAACACGAAGTGTCTGTATAGCATAAACCATAAAATTTCTTTTGAAATATATTGTACTGTTCTGACAAATTCTATCCATGATCAGTTTTGACCTTTTCACGCAAATATACATGCATCCTTGCAATATGAATAGCCATTTTATCTAGATCTACACGTTAGTTATAGTTTTTTCAATTAATGTTTATTGTAGTGATCAGCATCTCAAGGCACACGCATTTTTCATCTAGACACTCTATACGTTGAAGATTACTTGCTCAATCTGCTGGTATAATTTATATTCTTCTTATTGTCAGCCCTGTTATTTTCCTCATGTATGACATTTCTTCCCATTTATTCTGCACAATCATCATTACTGGCTCAACCTATTGCCATCTGTTCAAACCACGTTTACAGACTAATTCTTATCTTGTCCCAGTTCATTTATTCACCGGAAATTGTTGCTTCAATTCTAAATCAGGATTCCCCCACCCAGATCATATAGCAGCTCCTCAATCACGTTCAATTATTTTTTATCCATGTTATGTGATCTTAACACTCAACTTTCCTCTAATACCTTCTGGTAGCCACGGTTGCTTCATAGCTTTTATTTATGTTCGGTTTTATATTTGTGTACCAACTGGTAAACAAGTTCAATGTAAAAATAATTTTACTGCATTTTACAAGTTACCTATAGAAATGTGGTATTTGGAGATTCTTGCATTCGTGAAGTAGTACAAAAAGTTCTGCATCTAATTTAGATTCTCTCAAGACTAATGCTTTTAATACTATCTCATATTTGATCATGCACATCTCCTATTAATTTAATCTTGCTACAGGTTCATGGCATGCTATTCATTAGGTTTTCCATCCACATGCTTCATAACACACTTACGTACCTTACAGTCTCACTTGCCATCTCATCAACTGTCACATAATATTATTTTCTCTTATTCAATATGATCAACCACTTCAACAACTGTTCATACATGGATGTTTCCCATATATACATATTTTCCTTAAAAGTTATCTGCTATCCATCATGCTTAAGCCTGTTGGTAATCGTACTAATGCAAGTTGCTATAATGAATAAGCAGGAGAAGGCAAAAAGCTATCTAAAGTGATCATCATGTATTTCATGTTTCCATCAGCCAGGTGCCCAGGTGTTTTGCCAGAGGACATATCAGGACACATGTGTGCTCTGTTATATAACTTTTGACTTAAAGGAGTTGTGCTACAAGATAAATCGTTTGTCTCATCTGTATGCCTTCGATGCCTATTATGTGAGTCTTAACTATTTGAATTACCAACTGACCACCCTCGTCGATTCTCTTGTCTAATAAAATAGTGTATTTTACATATATTATATGGCTTAGTGAACTTTCAGTATAATTTTTGTTGTCATCAGAAATATTGAAACATATATATTCATATTCATACTAATGAGACTACATTTTGTTATCATATCAGCTTGGAGATTGCATTTATATTTTGAAATCTACATAAGTACCTTTTATTTTAATGTTTCACTAACACTGCATAATAATCAGTGTTCGTTTATTATGCCCCGCGGCAATGCGCGGGGTCCACCCTAGTTTATGATGTTATTGTGGCTATGATCATAAACGGAGTGCCCCAAATAAGACCCGAAATAATTTACTCATGGGACTTCTCTGAATTAAATGGAAATAACAGGTGTGCGATGTACGATAGGACAGTACGAGAAGACGCATAACGCGAATACGTGAATGTTTTGTTCCAGACCGCAACACAAGGGAAGAGCTTTTCATCAAAAAAACATAATGGAAGAGCGTATCCAGGATGGCGAACATACATTGACACAATTCTTACACATTTGCATGCCCAAATTCAGAGTCGTAGCTTAGAGAACTGTACATCGTGGTTAATGGACATGCCCCGTACCATTTACATGTTCTGTACACCGGGAAAACTTGCCAAAATTTCCAAAGGCACCTTCAGCAGTTCGCCAGAAACAAAAAAGAAGCATCACGACCAGATCGAAGCTTCTCATACACCATTCCAGCTCATTATTTGAGGATCCGCAACACGGGCAGCATACTGGCAAGCAAAACATAAACAACAATTGGTACCCAAAAAATTCTGCAATGTGCAAATCATTCAACTTCTGCATTATGTGAGCTAGTAAAAGTTTTGGAATTCCAGGTAGTACTTGAGAGTATTGGATGCGCCAAACTGGTGAAATATGGAAGATGTTATACTTTGATTGTACCGAACTATTTATATTCATTAATAAGTTGCTTCCCTTTGAGATGTGTATATGTATTCAAAATCAAAATATAAAGGGTTTTTTTTTAGATAGCTGCATATGGTGTTGTGTGAATTGCCAAATTGAGCAGACTTGTGTGAATTGGACCATTAGAGGAGGGAGGAGGGATCCAGGCACTTATTTGCTTCTTGGGTTGAATATGGCCTCTTTTTTGTTTTTTTCATACACATACGTATCACATACTACATATACCTATCCTTTTTTGTCAAAAATCTTGGGTATACATCTGAATACCCTTGACTCTAACTAGGGCGCCAGTATGGTAATTAGTAACTGACTGACTGAAAGACTGAAAGATTCACTAGTCCACTATATTTCAGATCATACCAATGGATGAACCAATAAGAACTATAAATCAAGGAAACAGAGATCATCATTTTTCAGTGCATAAACATGTAGGCAACAAAAAGGCATGAAGAACCTTATGAAAGAACAAGACAGCCTAGTTTAAAACTCAACCAACCTAGGAGCAACTATCTGGTTTTCTTAATTAAGAACAAATAGGCAGTTAGGCACCCAAATTCGCCTCGACAAGGATTTGGACCTGGGTGGTCTAGGCATACATCCACGACCTCGACCAACTGAGCTAGGCTCAGTTCCCAAGATAGCCAAGTTTAAACAAGCATTGTACAGAACCATGGTCCTAGTTAAACGCCTTTTGAATGGTTTGTATCTTACAAGCACTTGTTACCACTTGGGAATAAAATTCGTTGTTAAATCCTCATCTTAGGACATATGACATATCAGCATTTTAATGGAGTGAATAAACATGTAAAATGCTCCACCTGATTCATTCCCATTTATATGTTGAGTATTACTGCTTTCATCAATCAGAAATTCATAACACCCAGATCTGCTAGATGGTGAAGACTTTTGAAGTTCAAACAAATGTGTAATGCATCAGGTCTAACAAAAGATACATAAAGCATATCAGCTGGGTTTAAGCCTGCTAGTGAGCTTCAGACAACTTTCTCCCCACTAATGTCAGCAGGGGAGCTGATCCCAAGTGGAATATCAAACTAGCAATTCTATTGTCCCATAGTAACTGTAATTTGGCATACTTTGGTCACACTAAGCCAGTTTTCCTTCCATCCTATGTGTGTACCACCTACCATGACTCCATGATTCATGCCCAGGTAAAAGAATCAGTACACGGTAACTTGGCTATGGTGAAACTTGTAGGTACACTTTGTTCTTTCTGTTTGTCCTCAAGAGTTAGCAGGCTATGCTTGCAGATAGACTGGATTGGAACACCAATCGCAATCATCGAGATTCAAGTAAATGTAGAAGGCAGAGCTCGGAATTAGTGAGTGTGAAATATAAAAGGACAGCACAAATCTAGCATATGAAGTCAAGAAAACTAAAAGTTTGGCAGTTAACACCACAAAAAGGTATGTACAATTTTACAATTAGCTCAATGAAAGCAAAGGATGGTTCACAGAAACCACTTTTCTCTCTATGCCCACAAAAATTAACACATAGAGTTCAAGTGTGCAATGATGAAATCAACAGTTTCTTGCTACAAAGACATCAACTTTGAAGGAAGATGCTATTTTAAAGGATTATATACAACAAATTATAAAATGAAGCAAAAACCATACCAGCGAAGGTGTCTTTATGGCTCGGGACTTCTAACTTTGATCTCCATTAATTTCTCAACAGGTTGTCTGCATATGGGGCATTTATCTGTTTGAAACCTTAGAGTTTTTGCACATTCACTGCACATGCACTGGGCAACACAGGACCAATCAGATCAGCCAATTTAAGGCAATGTAAGTTAGATCTGGCAAAAGCAAAACTACAGATGTAGGCCATAGACTATGGTGAATCAGGTACTTACCAAATGCCTACATGGAAAAACAGCTGTGTCCCTTGGCTCTGTCAAGCAGATGACACATTCTTTCCCCATATCACTATCATCTGCGTCGGGAACATCAGCTTCAGTCGAGTTGACAATCCCATAAATTTCTTGTAGCTCATACTTCTCGCCATCACTCCACAACATTTGCTTGACAACTTTAACTCGAAGGTCATTGTGATGCTTCTCTATAACAGCAAGAGTAATTTGTGCCCTAGTGGAGTTAGGCTGGTGACTTTCCTCTGGAGGTGGACAAGCTTCTGCATAAACTACCAGTGGGAATACTTCTCCAGAAGGATTTGAAAGCTCATCCAGAGAAAAGAATCCCAAATCAACACCAGATCCAGAGGTCTGGACAAACTTTTGAGCCAATCCTTTCTGGAAAGGTATCTTTGTAGGTGTTTGTAATTCTGGATATACTGAAGAGAAAGTACAGTTTTTTCCTTCCTTGCCAAAGTAATAAATAGTTATGCTGCAAAGGACAAGAGCAAGTTTAACTATGGTCTCCAAACAATAACTATAGATGGAAAATGACTAAACGATTTGGTCAGATATCAAAACAGTCCAAAAACTTTCCTAGAAAATGAATTTTATATACTCTCTCCATCCCAAAATATAAGCATAAAACAGTCCAAAAACTTTCCTAGAAAATGAATTTTATATACTCTCTCCATCCCAAAATATAAGCATTTTTAGCATAGTGACAAGTCAAACATTTTAAACTTTGACTATTAATAGCAAAAATATAAAAAAGATCAATCATATAAAATTGGTGTTACTAGATTTATCATTAAACAAACTATCATAATATGCAACTCATTTTATTTAAAACATATTACTTTTATAGATATTGTTGATTAAAATAGCATATCGGAGACCGTGTCATAGTCCAAAAATACTTATATTTTGGGACGGAGGGAATAACTAGTTTAAGCTTAATTGAGACTCCAGTAAAATGCTCCACGTGGTGCAGTAGTACAAAATAGAAATGTTAAAATAACCTGAATAAAATATTACATAGGTACCGAGGTTGAACACCTAATGCTAAGTCTGCAACTGATGCATATTTCAGACATACATAATGATAGAGCAGCTAACTTCTCACTATGGTTGTTAAATTTTAAATGATTTTAGGGGTTTGCTTCAGGTTAGGATTACACTACTTGAGGTTTCCTCTTCTTATCCTTATTCCTCTGATTCATATTTATTATTAAAGTGAAGGACCGGTTCCCATTTAACAGTAAAGAGCAGGAAGATGCTTGGTATCTAGAATTTGATATATCAAAAGAGATTTCCCAACTTCGCATAGCTCATCAGCTCCAGCTTTAGCTTTGAAAATCTCTGGAAGAATTTGCTCTTTTTTTTTGGGTCTCAAATAAACTAAATCCTACAGTTCAATTCTCAACTAGAATTAGGTACACAATTCAAAACAACTCCCAAGAAATTTGAGACACGATCGCTGTTTCAGAGCTCAAGACCCCCCCCCCCCCCCAATCCACGATCCCGGCCTCACCTGCCGTCGGTCACGGCGTCGAAGGTGAAGGCGACGAGGCGTCGGTCGGGGTCCGTGACGTCGGGCACGAGCCGGATGGTGTCCTTGTGCAGGTTGACGTCGTTCTTCACCTTCCGCGCCTGCTGGTGATCCACGAACTCGGGCGGCGGCCCCGTCAGCGCGGGCTGCTCCGGGTGCGGCGGGCGCGGCGCGGGGTGCCACGGGCCGTGGTAGGCGTGCGGGGGCGGCGGGTGGTGGTAGTAGTACGAGGAGGACGAGGTGGCGTGGTGCGGCGGCGGCGGAGGCCGGTAGGGGTGCTGGTGGTGGTGGTGCGGCGGGGGAGGCGGTGGCGGCGGGTGGTGGTGGTGGTGCGGCGGCGGAGGAGGGGGCGGTGGGTAGGTGTAGTAGTGGTGCGGCGGCGGCGGGGGCCGGGCCGCGTAGTACTCGTCGCGGCGGCGCCGGCTGGTGGAGGACGAGCCACCCATGGCACACCTGGTGGATTCGCCGCGTGGAGGTGGAGGAAGGAAGCGAGGAAGAAGAAGAAGATGAGGTTTGCTTAGGCGCGTCGCGTTGTGGGGGGAGCAGGAGCAGCGCGTGCGCGCGGTGGTGTTGACGCGAGGGGAGGGGTGGAAGAGGACTCGGCCACACGGAGGATTGACTCGCGCGGGGTGCGGCGGTTTCGCGTGTGTCGGGGGGGCCGTTCCGAATTTTTCTCTCCTCTCTCCGGAGATCGCGACGAGCGATCGCGCTCGGGAGCGGCAGGGTGAGGTGGGTGGTGATGTCGCCGTGCCGTGGTGGTGGCGCGGACTGCGGATGGAAGGAGAGAGATGGAGCTTTTTCTTTTTTTTTCTTTCTCCTTTTCTTTTTGGTGCCTGACTGTCGTCGGCTCGTCGTTATTGACCGGTGGCCAAAGTGTGATGATGGAGTTAAAGAATACTACATCGTACTGTACTGCTCGCTCCGTCCCATAATATAAGAGATTTTATTTGCGCTGTTTGACCACTTATCTTATTAAAAAAATGTGCAAATATAAAAAATGAAAAGTTGTGCTTAAAGTACTTTGGATAATAAAGTAAATAAAAAAAAATAATTCTATTTTTTTTAAAATAAGACGAATAGTCAAACATAGCAAGCAAAATATCAAAATCTCTTGTATTAGGGACGGAGGGAGTAGATTAGCTAAATGCCTAACTACTCCTACATCTAATCCTCTACCTGAATATGTGGGTCACTTAGGATAATGGCACAACGGGCCATTGAGCACAATAATGTTATGATGTGATTCTGTGATTGTGAGTAGGTTTTCTGTTTGAGACTCAATGTTGAAAGACATTAGTACTGATGTACTGTAGTAGATAATGGTACAACGCGCCATTGAGCGCAATAATGTCACATTGGAGGCTCGACCTGTATGATACGTCTGTTTCTTCAGCATGCAGCTCAGCTATATCTTTGTCAATAAAAGAAAAATGTGCTTCTTTATCTTTTGTAAATATGAAGCTGCTTTTTGGAAAAGTGAACAGAACAGCCTTTGAGAAGTCAGGACAGGAGTGGAAGTTCTACTGTTAATAAGCCATATATTTACAAAAACATAAGCCTACAGAGAGATACTACTGGTCAGCAAACGCACGACAGCTGATCTTCATTGTGCTACACGGATAAGTCCAGATGGTCAACCCGCCAGCCTCTGATGTAGAACGTTCCAACAATCAACCCAAAACCAGCAATTTTGCAGACTTCAGGTTCTGACTTCTGACCGCACCATTTACTAAGCGTGATGCAGCTAGCCAGCAATTTGGCAATCTGATCTTCAGAAAATTATACAGCTGGGTGAGATTGGATCCAAATTTTCGTTCGCATTGCATCAAGCCGTCAACCATTCCAGAAGTGGCCAAAGACAACACAATTACACAGCTCCTCGTAGGTCACGCTCTTCATAGTTGCTGTGCCATGAGTAACAAAATATCCTCCTTGGTTCTTCAGTTCCAGTTTATGCCACAGAAGATTGATATCAAACTATACTAATCTCATCCCAACCCAAGCACAATATTGGTCTGGGTTATAGAACTCTTCTTACTGCACCGTACTGCAAGTTGTTGACAATAATCAAGGTCACAGCATCTAGTCGGCTGTAAGCCTGTAAACTCTGAAGTTTTTTTGAAATGGCCCTCTTCTTCTAAAACAAAGGGGAAAAAGGCAGGCTTAGCTTAATATTAACAAAGACTAGCAGCAAAGGAAGAAGTACCTTGTGGATGATACCATCATAACCAAATATGTGGCGTACATAACCTCAGGCACCATATCTCCTTAGAACTTTGCTTAGTGCTGGCATCACATTGTATGCTTGATAAGACCTTCTCAGCTCGATGATTGAGCCCACCTGAACAATCATCTTCATATAGTTTCATTATCCAAACACATGTTCATCACGCACATGTCCCATTTGATCAAAGAAAAAAAATATTTAATGTCCATAAGTAAATGAAGGTAGAAAAGGGCTAGAACACCTAATGCAGCAGCAGAAAATAAGCAGCACACTAATAGAATTCTTTATAGTTGATATGCATTTTTGTTTTTAAACAAAAATAATAAAAAGAAAATGCAATGTAGAGGGAAATGAACACAAACTTTGAGCTATCCATGTAAAATGAAATTGTGGATGGAAGAACACATCGGTACGGTAACTATCTATAGGCAGGTAAGCATATTAATTATTTAGTGGCAAAGAACTAACACATTTGCCAAGTTCACTGCTAATATGATTACGGCTGGAAATGATTCCTATACTGCATAGGCTCAAGCTTTTCATTTAAGATTTTAAGGAAACAAAATCTTCAGTTGTTTTGTTCTTTTCAATAAAAAAATTGTGTGCTTTTACTTTCTAAATATATATCCTAGATTTATAAATTATGCATAGCAGTGGGCTCTGCATTATGGAACAACTTGCAATAATGTGCTAAACTGCATAAACATAATATTTAATTACATAATATTCATCTCTCAAAGGTCAAAATCACCCAGCCTTCCTCCATAAGTACAACAAATAGTACATCAAACAGAGATTCTAATGGCATTTTTTATGGGTGTGGGCCTGTGGGGAGCAGGAATGCATTGTGGGGACAGCTAGGAGGGCTTAACTTGACAGAGCGAAAGGCCTTAAGCCCTAAATCATCTAATACACCATTTGGATTTTATCAATATTTTTAAGAAGATCAAAAGGCAGAAACATTGAAAAAACAAAATACAGAAGGTCAACATTGGAAGTGTGCATAATCAGCTAAAATCCCTAGTCACTTGACCAAGTTTAAGTTCATTTAGAATTTCAGATTCAGGCACCTAGAAGATATTCAGAGAAAACACATGTAAAAAGGCCAATACTTGGAAAAAATAGCACCATGAAAAGAGATAATTAACTATTTGCCATTATTACAAGTGACACTTAAGGATTTGCCACTGGACCCAGATGTCATAGACTGCGAGTGGCAAATCCTTAATTGCCACATCTTAAAAGTGGCAAATAGTTAACTAAGAATATGATTGAAAATGCAATTCAACATCAATCTTCTTCATGGTGACAAATGATAATGAAGAATATAATTGAGATGCACTCACAATAATCAACACCGACGTGAAACCTATAGAAAATCCCTCATTTATCTGCCTGAGATATCGGTCAAGTAATAAAGAGGAAGTCGCCAACAAGCTCAGCAATATACCCCCTGGAATTCAAGGAAAGAAACACTTTTTAAAAATAAGAAAAAACATAAAGCAAAACAGAGGAAAGTTTGGCCATGCTACAAGTTCTCGTGAAGGCCACCTACCCCAGAAACGTGTAGATGTTTGTATTTTTGTAAGATACTCTACTGTTGCTCTTCCAGGCTTTATCTTCGGTACTCTAGCACTCATTTTATTCAGGTAGTCAGATATCTCTTTTGGCAAGTTTGCCTGCAGTGAATAATGTGTAGATTAAGCTATATTTGATAAGGCATGTGCAAATAAAATCATGAAAAGAAAATAAAAGAATATTATCTTCCTGAAAATGTTGAGAACATGAGTTCTGATATCAAAATTACATCACAAATATCTGTCATGTTTTTGAAGATCTACAAGAGCATTGTTAAGAAAAGTTTTGTATGTGATACTAGGTTCAACAGTTAGATTATGCATAGTTGTTGGTCCCCAGGGGATTCGTTGTCCCCCATAAAAAAATCTGATGAATCAACATAAGCGATGATTAAAAAATTCCAAAATGATTCATGGATGTAGCATGAGTAGCTCTGTGTAAAGAAAAATATAAAACTCAAGTTTTTTCCTACATGTCAAGATACAAAAGGAAAAGTCTTACGGCTACTGCTACTTCATGGTGAACAATACCGTGATGTATGCTTGTCCTTTCTGTATCTCAACATCTAGACAATTTGAATTTTTTTTTTGTAGGTTTAAAGGACTCTGTGTGCTACATCCACAATTCATTACGGAATTTTTTAAACAATGCATTCTCTAAGGGGGTCAGCCAGGTTCCGCAGGCACCAAAACAAGGTCACGAGCAACTATAAGAGAACATCACCACAAGATAATAGAAGGAATATTGGTATAATGACTGTATCCTGAAAAATAAAATAGTTAGACAGTTATTAAGATGAGAAAGTAACTTACAATGTCAAAAATATTGAAGACGAAGACAAGAAATGCATATGTCAAATAATAAACCCATGGACCACCACCAACTGAAGTCTTTGGATTCAACGTTTCCTTCAAACTTTCCCAAAATTGCGTACCAAAAATGCTGGAGAAATTCCAAAATCAGAATGGAAATTTTAACCAAAACATACCCAAAAAATAAACACAATGAATTACCTGGCCATAATGCTTGGAAAAGCTAATAAGTATGAGGTGGTAAGCAAAGGCTGCATCCCAGTTGGATTTATGTTAAAAGGGATATATGGCTCTACCTCTGTAACTGGGGAGCTCTCACTCCTACAAAAGAATGATCAAATATAAGATAAGTAAAAGGATTGAGAAAACCATAAAGCGTAGTATTAGCACAAATAGGTGATGATGGAGTAGCCTTTGCTAGGTCAATCCACATCCAACCATATCATTGAGCCATATAACCATGCCAGGCTGCAGCTAAAAATACCGGTAGAAGGGTGCTGTTAAATTGTTTAGAAATTAGAACTTAAGCAGAATATAACAAACTGGAGTTTTCAAATAACATAAATAGATGTTTCAAACAAAAGGTTTGCAGTTAATGTGATAAAGTATATTCTGTTTGGGCATTTGGGCAACATGAAAGGTTCTTATGTGCAGCTTGTGTGGATAATGTTCTTATGTGCTCCATGCAAAAATAGCATTCAAAAGTACATGATAATAAAAATGAGTGTAGAGTTGATTTTATCATTACCTTGCACCAGAAGCCAATTTAAATCCATAGTACTGAAGCTTTATCTTCCTACACCCTTCAGTCACCAGTACTGCTCCCATGGTAACCAAAATAAAAGTCCCAGCTATCCCCAAGATGTAGGGCCAACAGCTGTACCAATTTCCTGTTTCGAAAGGCATATCAAATAAAAGAAAATAACACTAGAAGTCTCAGCATATCAGCTGTCTGTGTACATACTGTATATGACCGAAAGAAATTAGGAGTTACATTTTCGGTTTCTTTTCTCCAAATGTTTATCTGATCCATCTTGGTAAACAAGTTATTGTATTGTAGAAACTGGTGAAGTGTTTTAAGACTTAAAATTCTAGTTCGTATATACACGTTACTGACAAAAATGTCAACATTATATCTTCATGAACTGGCTAGTGCCCAAATGATCGTGCAAACAAACCTTAACATTGCACGATGCATATTATGTTATGCTCAGCTAGAGAAATGGAGCTCAGGTAGATCAGCTAAGATAACACTACTGACGAGGTTATAACAGACACAACCATCCAAGATTTTTAAGTGCAAAATAAGATTTCACCATCCTGTAATGATTTAATAGAAGATGAAAAGGGATAATTCCATATATATCATTAACAATATGTCTGAGCCTAGATATCCCATTGAAAACCAACTCCAGATATGACTGTACTGTACCAAAACATTACCCTTTTCTACCCTTGTTGATCAAATTTTACCCCTTTGCTCTCATTTTTTAATTTCTCTGAATAATGACTAACATATCTCTAAACTAGCCATTGGTCATTGGAGGATAGATGAGGTCGTTCTCTCCAGTCAGCTATGGAAAAGTGCAATAGAAAACAGAGGAAACTGATAGAGAAGGGGTAAAATAGTCTTTGCACATCCTGGGCATGATTTGACTGATGGAATTTTGTCTGCAATGAAATAAAAGGGTAAAGTATTGTACTTGTACGATAACAGCACATCCCTGGTTTGGCAAAATTTGAGTGGCATAATGGAATTATCCATTCTACTCAGACCATGTTGCTTCTTATTTATTTGAGCAACAGTTATGCCAAGCTGTAATGAAATTCAATCCTTTAAAGGAGTTACAATCCAACAATGAGTTTTGGTTGGCAACACAATGTGAGGCACCAAACAGGCAGATAAAAAAAAATCAAAGTATAAGATCATCATAGATGACAATGCAGTTTGGAAAAGTGCCTTGAAATACTCCACCTACCACAAAACTTCCGCAAAGAGATATAAGAAGATGCAAGGATAATAAATTCAGTACATACACATCATTATCATTAGAATTTACTGGTCGCATCCAACTCAAAGGAGTAAAACTTAGCAGTTGAAAAGTTGCAATTAGTGTCGTGAAAGATTACCTGAAAATTGAGTTAACATCTTGTGGAGTGTGTCTGTATAACCAGTCAATATTCCCACACAGATAATCAAGGAAGAGCCATGTCCTGGATGCAAAGACATAGAAGAAAATATAAGAACAAAAGTTCCAACCAAGTACAAGAAAATATGCACTAAATGGATAACAACCATCATTTTATGCTTTTACTTTACAAGATCATTTACGTGAATCGCAATCATAGAGATATATGGTAAAGAAATCATGCCAGCATGCATGTTTTCATGTCCAACAGCTGAGTTTAGTCTTAAAGTTTGGATATGGCATAATATGCCATATTGAATACAGCTTTAACACAGTATAATCAAAGCATGCAGAGATGATGCTAGAATACCAAATCCAAGATTCCGATATACATGATATAGAGTATTACCAAATCCAGATTCCGATATAGTGTCACAGATCCATGTCATTGTCATTGCACCAAGAACAAGGAAAAGGCTTGTTATCATTACATGCTTAACTCTGAAAGATTAAAAAAAGGTATAGGTAAAGAAATACTGATGAGCATCCTTCCAGTCCAAACAAATTATTATTAGTAAAGCTTTTTCTCCATATAGAGCTAACATACTGTCACCTGTAACTTGCAGCATATATAGAATATTGCAGTGAGTAGCATGACACTGTAAAAGCCGCCACAAGTGCAAAACCCAGCGACAGCCACCAACTAGAACATCAAAATAACCAGACTTAAAATTTAAAAGTAGATGAATGTTGAGAAAGAAAATAAAAGATCCCCTTTTCAAATAATTCAGTTCAAGAAAGAGAACTCGACTCACATATAGCCTTTGATCTTCTCATGTCCATCTAACCCTTCCTTTCGTAGTTTTTCAAGTGATGGAAGAACATGACAGAGAACCTAAAAATCACAATTTGTTACTATCACCAAATACTGAGAAAAGCTTTAGTACGACGTTAGAAGCAACTGATGCAAAACGCTCTTAAAGAGCAAAAACGAACACACTCTAGAATAAAAGAACTAAGGCTCAGTTTGCAACAGGTTATTGAGCGGATTGCTGCTACTTGAGACATACGTTGCCATTGGAAAACAAAAGAGCAGGACCAAACAAGGGATAAAATAGAACCTGCATGACAATAGATGCTGAAATCTGATGACTGATTCCGAGCTGGAAAAATGACAGCTTCAATTCGGATGAAAAATCACCGAGGTCATCTGCACAACCGAAAGAGCACCGCACATTCTTCAAACAGTTCACCAAGGCCATCAAAATGATCAAACGACCGCGCACTTTCATACACTACAGCTAGCACGAACTAATATTCTCGGAGGACTGTAAAGGGAAGAGACCTGCAGGAAGGGGTGCAAAGCTGAGGTAGGAATCGGGGATGAGCCGTCGGTCGAACCCGGGAAGCGGGACGAAGTAGCCGACGCGGCTGAGCAGGATGAGCACGGCCGTGACGGCCAGCCGCCGGCGAATCTCGCTGCGGAAGAGCGCCTCCGCCGCGCTCTCCGCCACGGCCCCCAGCCGCGCCAGGTCCAGGAACCTGTTCCGGTACCCCGCCGCCTTCCTCGCCCTGCCCCCCACCTCGCCACCCTCGCCCGCAGGCCCTACGGGGGACGCCGCGGCGGCGGACGGCGCGGAAGCCCTGGCGGCATGGAGACGGCGGCGGCGAGGCGAGGGAGCCTGCCGCCTCGTCGTGCCCACGAGGAGGTGGCCGCCGTCGTGGTGCAGGCGAAGTGGTGGGTGCGTTGGGGCGAGGCGGAGCGGTGGGGAGGAGAGGGAGAGCGCGCGGCTGGGCGCGAGCAGGAGGGAGAGTGAGTGCGGCATGGCGGCGATGCCGCGGCGGTGGCCGAGCTGCCGCCGTCGCGCTCTGCCGGCCGATGGGATTGCAAAATCCGGCGGTGCTACGCCTTCACGTCGGTGTGGTTTCTCTCGCGGGCCCGTGTGCCACCGGCCCGGCCCGGCCTGGCACGGCCCAGTGGGCCTCGTGCCGAATCGTCATGCTCGCGTGCGCAGCACGTTACTCCGTGAGTCCGTGACCATACGAACGCCACACAGACCGAGCACGCACGTCGCAGCACGGCACAGGCAGCCGAGCACGTGTCGCGCGCGCGCGCATGGCGGCTCCGGTGGCCTCCGCCTCCGCCTCCTGCTTCGCGCCGCGCAGCGACCATGGCGGCGGCTGGTCCTACGGCGGGACGAGAGGGGTGCCGTCGCCGCGGCGTGGCGCGGCGAGGCGGCTTCGGCGCGTCCTGGCGCGAAGCGGCGGCGGCGGAGGAGGAGGAGGAGGAGGAGAGGGGAGGGGGATACTGGACCCGCTCGCTACGCCTTTGCAGATTCTGGGACTCGACGCCTCGGCCTCCTACACCGCCGCGCAGCTCAAGGCGGCCTTCCGCGCCCGGGTAGTGTACCGCTCCCTCCCCCCCTTCGCCTTGTTTGCTGCTTATTATGTGCAAGGTGCTCAATTCTTAGTAACTCTCAAGGGTGCCTTATCAGCTTTTGTTGTTGTTGAGCCGGAGTGATGGTTCACATCCGAAGAAGCTAGCCCATCTCCATTGTTAAAGTACGACAATCATAGTAAACTTGTATTCTTGATATTACTGTTTGGTCTTGGAGGAGGGTATACAACAACACAACCTTTCCAATATCTTAAGATTGTGTCTGTGCAAAGTCATGTCCCAAAAAAAACTGTAAAATTGATCTGAATCGCGTAGGCATGGTGTTTTTCCTAAATCGCAAGCTACAGGTTCTGTTACAACTTGCAACACTAGGCCCCAGTGACTTGACATTGTTAGTTTCTGTTACAGGTAAAGGAATTCCATCCAGATGTTTGCAAGGACACAGAGAATGCAGATCTAATAATGAGAAGAGTTCTTGAGGCCTATGAGGTAATTGTGCTAACTAAATGTGTATTTTGTGCAAGTGGACGTGAGTTGCTGGCAGTACTACTCCATCCATTTCATATTAAGACGTTTTAGCTTTTTTCTTAGTCTTCATATTAAGACGTTTTAGCTTTTTTCTTAGTTAAACTTTTTTTAAGTTTAACCAAGTTTGTAGAAAACACATGGTGATATCTTCGACATACAATCAAAATATACTCAATCTTAAGATTTAATGAGACTAATTTGATGTTGTAGATGTTGCTATATTTTTCAATAAACTTGATCAAACTTAAAAAAAGTTTGGCTTAGGAAAAAGTCAAAGCAACTTATAATATGAAACTGAGAGAGTAAAGGTAAAGGTAAACATCATGGAACGATCACAACCGACAGCGTTCGTGTGGTCTTTGATTGTCTCTGAAAATGTTACCTTTTGAAATTTTTAGTGTACAGCTGGATGAGTGCCAGATTGATCTTCCTAATGCATATTATTTTTTTTGATGGTTAAACTTTTCCCCCTGCTATTTATAAGCCGTTGTTATTACATTGATCTGTTTGTTGTACAGATATTATCTGGTAACCAAGGAATGATGATCGAAAGGTAGAAAATACTTCCATAGCTGTGTAATGAATATATGGTTCAATGCTGATGAATTAAATTTGAAAATATACTGTTCATTCCTTTTTTTCAGAATATTCGGGATTCAAATTTTTTTTGCAGAAATATACCGTCGATCTCGCACAACCGTTGTGCGAAAATGACGTGACGTGACGTGACATCGCGGGCGTTATCGTGTTGGGAAAGTGCGAGACCGCGCAGTCTCGCAGAATAGAAGAGAATTCGGTCTCGCTGAACCAATCAGCGATACCAGATTTCAAAATGGCTAATTAGTAATTAATTATCATGATTAATTAATTAATCGCTAATCACAATAATTAATCACTAATTATTATTAGTTAATAGTTAATTAGGTCATTAGTCACCGTTTGAGCGTTGGGACGGTGTCGCTGTCTGTTTCAGCGAGACCGTTCGGTCTCGCTTCTCCCTTCCGCAAGACCGCGCGGTCTCGTGTTGTAGCCGTGCGATACCGCCTGCGACGTCACGCCCATATCATTTTCGCGCAACGGTTGTGCGAGATCGACGGTATATTTTTGCAAAATATTTTGCATCCTGAATATTCCTGAAAAAAATAAATGAATGATCAGTATATTTTCAAATTTAATTCCAATGCTGATAGGGTTAGCTTTTTGTGTAGCTACACTACTCTTGTATCTCTGACTACCCTAACTTGGGGTTTCCCATATAAACTTCAAAGTGGATGGTAGATTGGGTCTTAAAGATTTTGATCATGGCGATCTAGATATATTCTGACCGTAGTGAGTGAAATATGATTAATACTGTCATTATTTATAATTGAACACTACATATCTAGTGGAATTCTGGAACCCATGCTTAATGGTTGGTTGAAGATGAACAGGATAATGCTACGCTTGAAGTGGTTTTCCCTATGAATAACTTATGAGAAAAGAATAAATACTACTAAAGTATAGTGGTTACGCAGATGGTCCAATAGTACATATTGAAAGGTTGATTGATCATGGTTGTTCCTATTGGGGTATAATTATGAACATCTGTTGGCATGAGGCCCAATGGGTGTCTCAAAAGATACAATAGAACTCTTGCCTGCATACATTGCGGGAAAGACCAACTGACATGTTCATGTATTACACTGATGCAGGAATAATGTTGATCCATTTGATGAACCTGAGTGCGCATCTTGTGACATATTTGTGAATGAACTTCTATGCATTGGCACTGGTACCTTTTGAATTCATGTTCTTTCATTTTGTTGGTTTCCAAACTCTGTTTTACCCTGCTGTTGACCACAGTTGGTGTCAAGGATGAGGTCTGAAGTACACAATTACTCTGATAGCTGTTAAGTGGTGTTTCAGGGGAAAACATGTGTTAATTGATATGCCAGAACGAAACACCTTTTACCCGTATCGATTCAATTGTAACCAGAGCACATTATGTTCACTTCTTAACATATACAAAGTTATAATGTAGTATGTTTTATAAAGTTGGTTTGGTGTAAATTACATAAACATGTTTTGGCAACTTGATCTGAGAAAGACAACCATTGCATCTTTTGCAGGATGCCCGTATTCTTGTGTTAAAAGGGCACCTCACGCGTTTGCATTTGCCGATGACACTGGTACAGCACATGCATCATCTCAAGGTATGCTGATCATTGCCACCTTGCTTAACTGAGAGGGAGCGTGCTTGGTATGTTCCTAGTTTACTGCCAAATGTTGCAACTTGTAAGCAGTGGATTTGTAAGAGCTTCATGCTTTTCTGATAATAGAAATTGGAAAGGCAGATCTGCTTTTCTGTTTCGAAAAAACAAAGTTGTTTCTCTTGTGCTCTTTGAAATTAATCTAACCTTTGTTTCAGGTCACTATGATGACTACAATGTCCAACTTGCTGTTGGGCAGTGTCCAAGAAAGTGCATATACTATGTCACGCCCTGCCAACGTACTATTTTGGAGGAAATTCTTGCAAGGTAAATATTAAGCTCTGCGAACTGAGACAGCCATATTGATTGCCATGGGAAATACAGTAGTTGTGAAGCATTTATCATTTCTACTCATTGTGGGCATTGCGTAGTTTCACTTACCATGAAGTTTGTCTATAATTATCTGTTATTTACCATGATAGAATAAAAAAGTTGAGTAATTAATTATTGAAACAGGCTATTCTATGTTTTAGCAATTCCTTAGGCCTTACTAAAGTTTTAGCCATTACAAAAACAAAGATCTTTGTATGTAATTTAGAACCGCATTGATCCAACTACTCCCTCCGGTCATTAATATATGATGCTTTCAACACTAATTTTAGCGTGAAAAACGTCAAATATGTTAATGACCGGAGGGAATAATTGACAAGAAAGAAGGTCGGCAAATGAGCGAAAGCGCAAAGCTTATCGTTCAGGTTTTGATCCTGATCAGAGATGAGCGAAAGCGCAAAGCACTTACCCTGATAGAGTATTAGTAAGAATGCACTTGCCACACTATGATTAGGGACACTATCTATACATTCCCCACACTATGATTAGGGACACTATCTATACATTCCCTATTGATGAAGATGCCACTCGTGCTAATCTCTCTCTCACACGTTCACAGTGTGTTGATGACTCCATACGACCTCTCTGAAGCAGCAGTTCTGGATTCTCTCTTATCAAAAGCAATGTTTGAGAATAACAGGTACAAGAAGCCGAAAAGAGAAACAAAATCGTCTTCTGATTATGTTGACTGGATGTGATCCACTCTATAGCACAGTTAGAGGGTTTAAGATGTATTATGTAAATATTATTGTAGGGCAAACCGTGAGTGGTAGTTGTTTGCTTCAACTATTAAGGGCTTGTTTGGATAGGTGGAATAACATCAACCCCTTCAGAATGGGATCGAAATTGACTAAATGCCTGCCAATCCGAAGGGAACCAAACAAACCATTAAATTTTGCCCCTACCAAAACTTTGGCCTTTACCCATATATTGGTCTCTTGATGCAATTAACCCAAACTCCAAATTGACCCAAACTTTACGCTACCTTGTACTACGGCCGTGTTTAGTTCATCCCTAACTACCTCAAACTTCTAACTTTCCATCACATCACATCACATCACATACAAAACTTTCCTACACCCGTAACTTTTTTTTCAAACTTTCAACTTTTTTCAGGAAATAAACACACCCTAACTCGCTAAGGATTTGGTACCACCAAAATTTGTTAGGGTATCAAACCAAAACAACCTTCTAATTCTACCTATCCATACAAGCTCTAAATGGAAAAGATTATATAATCAAACCACAACCTTCTGAGCTCAACTTCCGTTTCGTTTTTCTTCGAACACATTTGGTACTGGCGTCCTGCAACCAGTTATATTTTGAACCGAATTTTCTATTCCAGTGTTTTTCATCAAAACTTGCATGTTGTCCGTTTTGATGCTGATAACAATCCTTCTTCAAAAACAACATAAGTTCACCATTCGTCGTGCACATTCAGCACACGTCTCTCAAAGTAATGCCTTTTTTTTACTCACAATTAAAATGTATTTTTTTCAAATGTATAAAAGAATATTTAAAATATGAATTTTATCGAAATATGAAAAATTAAAACAGTCTAATCAAGCTTATCGTTCCTGTTGTTTGAAGACCATATAAGAAAACAGAAGGAAAAAAAACTAAAGTTGGCATTTCAAAAATAAAAATTGGGTCATTGTAGTCAGGAAAGTCATAAAAAAATACATAATTTTAAACCAAACAAAGTAGTCAAAAGTAAAAATGGTTTATGTTCTTTCCATGGTATTAATGCATATGATTCTACTCATTGCAATTTAATTGTTACTATTTTAAAATATTCCTATGAAAGACCTTTGAAACAAAGGAATAAATTCTATCTTTTTTATAAAAAAAAATCTATGGAAGAGTAATCCTATATAAATTTTGGAGAAAATTTAGCAAGAGCTTCAACCTTTTAGAAAATTTATTGTATTCCATTCAAATGTCTATTCCTATGTTTTTTCTGTGTTTTGCAAACATTTGTTTTATGCTTGCATTCATATTTGAATCATTTTTTTTTCTGTTGCTCTATTTTTTAAAGAGCAAAGCAAATCCACATGACCTATCACTCGCCCGACAGATCCATGCCGTAGATCTCATCAGCAGGTTGGTTAGTATGACGCGGCAGCCATCCGGCCGTCCCTTCCCGAACGAAACGGGCAAGTCAGAAATGAGCTGCACCGGTGCACCCTCAAACGGTCGTCTCGTCTCCGCAAGTTCAAAAATCAAATCCGCTCCTCCCATTTCCCCTCTCCCCCAAACTCCTCCTCGTCTCCTCCTCCGCTCCCCCAACCAAATCCCCAATTCCGCACCACCCCGAGCGCGGCGACGGAAGCAGATCGCGGCGATGGAAGCAGATCCGGCCCCATCCTCGACGCCGCCGCCCTCCTCCCCGGCGCCCGCGGCTTCTCCGTCCCGGCATCCTCCAGGTACGCGCGTGCTTCGTGGTTCCGTGAGGGGCGGGTGGAGGAATGGGTGGGCTAGGGTTTTTTGTGGGTTCGTGTCTCAAGGTGTGTCCTGACTCTTTTTTTTGGCAGGTGAGGAAGGAGGAGGGGCTGAGCGCGTGGAGGTGGAGGAGTACGTGGATCCCCCGAGCCCAGATTGCTGCGGCGGAGCCGACCCGGACCATGCGCCGCCGCCGTCGCCGAAAGGTTGGGTGCCTTGTCCTGTAGCGTATAAGCGATTATTAGGGCTTAATTTTTGTTTGTCTCATGGTGCGGCGAGGGCTTGTTTTGTATTCTGTCTCATGGTGGCAAAATGTCAGGTGAGGAGCCGGTGGTGAGCGCTGAGGAGGAGCAGGCGGCGGTTGCAGGAGGTGAAGGGGAGGCTCTTCGCAGCTTCTTGGAGGTGGGAAATTTTGGTGTTCTTGCTCAAAGATCTGTTAGGTTTTCTGTACTCCGTGCTTTGTTTCTGATTTGTAGGGTTCTATTTCTTGCAGGAATTTGGAGACCAAGGGGATGATTCCCTTGTCCCGTCACCGAAGCTGAAGCAGATAAACACCCCTGACCGCCTCGCTGCTCTTCGTTTTCTTGGTACACCTTGCACAATGAAATATACTTTTTACCTTGCTCATGGAGGTTATCTGCATCTAGAGTCATGATTGGTATGTGTGTTGTAGGGGGAAAGTATAACAGCTTGTTAGAGAGGTACAAGCAGCAGGTGGCTAAGTGTGCCGAGGAGTGTGCGCCGAGGTACGATGGCTTGAAGAAGAAGTACGCAGATGAGTGTGCAGAACGGCGACGATTATACAATGAGCTCATTGAACTGAGGGGTAACATCAGGGTTTTTTGTCGATGCCGCCCTCTAAGCACTGCTGAGATCTCCAATGGGTGTTCATCTATAGTTCAGATCGATCCATCCCATGAGACTGAGCTGCAGTTTGTTCCATCTGATAAAGACAGGAAGGCTTTTAAGTTTGATCATGTTTTTGGACCATCTGACAATCAAGGTATGATAATTTGCTTTTCTTTGTACAGTCCATTTACATATTTTGTGGGAAGATACAAAAAACATCGTGTCAAATACTATAATTATACTGCAATCATAGTTTGGTTGAACAGAAGACATTTTCTCTGTTTCTTACGGCACATCTTGGGACATGATTATATGTTGAAAGATATGAATCATATTCTGTTTCTTTAATGCACTATGATCAATGTTTTTCTTTCAGAGACTGTCTTTGCTGAAAGCTTGCCTGTTGTGCGGTCTGTCATGGACGGTTTCAACGTATGCATCTTTGCATATGGACAAACTGGAACTGGGAAAACCTTCACCATGGAAGGGATTCCAGAGGATAGGGGTGTTAACTACAGAGCATTGGAAGAATTATTCAGGTTGTCTGAAGAAAGAAGCTCTTCTGTTGCCTACACATTTGCTGTGAGCATTTTGGAAGTCTATAATGAAAAAATCAGGGATCTTCTAGATGAAAGCTCTGAGCAAACAGGAAGAAAGTATATTTCCTTTGTCCCATTTATTTGATAGTATCCATTTAATACTGATTTGTAATTAATCTATTCAATTTTAACACACAATATCCTTGTTCTATGCAAAGATTGGACATAAAGCAAACTGCTGATGGAACACAAGAGGTGGCTGGTTTGATTGAAGCTCCAATTTATACTATAGATGGTGTTTGGGAGAAACTGAAAGTTGGAGCTAAAAATAGATCGGTTGGAGCAACTAGTGCCAATGAACTAAGCAGCCGCTCTCATAGGTGAGGCTTTTTGTGTTTCATTGACAGTATCCCTTTAAAGTAATTTAACTTATATATTAGAATTTGCTGCTATTTTTCAATGTTGATAATAGATCATCCTCAATTAAAAGTGTGCTTCTACAACGTTATTGTAATGATAATTTGATGATGGTATTTGTGGTTCTGTTCTATATGCAGCTTGGTTAAGGTTACCGTCAGGAGTGAGCATCTGGTGACAGGGCAAAAGTGGAGGAGCCATATCTGGTTGGTCGACCTAGCTGGAAGTGAGCGTGTGAATAAAACAGAAGTAGAAGGGGACAGGCTAAAGGAGTCACAGTTCATAAACAAGTCGCTCTCTGCTTTGGGCGATGTTATTTCTGCCCTTGCCTCAAAAAATGCACACATTCCTTATAGGTCAGTAATATTTAATATCTTTAGAATTAAACATCTGTATTGTCCAGCTACTTCAAGAACTATAGCTTCATCTCAGTCTCACCACTGTTTACCTTTTTCTGTCAATAGAAATTCCAAGTTGACTCATCTGCTCCAAAGCTCTTTAGGTAAGTTCAATTTTTCTGGTACCAATTGTTCTTAAAAATTCTTTTATTGAATTAGCAAATTAGCAAGTAGATAGATTACTCATGATGGTTGGCTTGTACAGGTGGGGATTGCAAGACACTCATGTTCGTGCAGATAAGTCCAAGTTCTGCAGACTCGGGAGAGACTCTCTGCTCACTTAACTTTGCTAGTAGAGTTAGAGCTATAGATCATGGCCCTGCTCGTAAACAAGCAGATCCAGCTGAAACTTTTAAGCTCAAGCAGATGGTAATTTGATTCTTTCAATACTAAAAAATTACGATGCAACTTAACTGATACTAACTGGAAACATCATTTCAGACAGAGAAAATTCGTCATGAGGAGAAGGAAAATGCAAAGTTACTTGAAAGCTTGCAACTGACGCAGCTTAAGTATGCTTCTCGAGAGAATGTCATCAAGACACTTCAAGAGAAGGTATGTTGGCTAGATTCATTGTTATTCTCTTGGATGGCCTTGCATATCTTATGAAACAAAATGCTGGCAAATAACCCGACGAATATTGTGAACAGATAAGGGAGGCTGAACAAACGTCCAAAACTTATCAGCAGCGGGTAAGTAGGATAACCACTTCTGTTTAATTCATCAGAGACCAGATTCTGCATGCATTTGAATATTCTTATCTGTGCGTGACATTTTCTTTTGTACAGGTTAGAGAGCTAGAAAATGAATTAGCCAATGAGAAGAAGGCTGCCAGGGATACAGCTAGATCAACAAAGCCACCACTTGCTCCTATGAGGCAGAGACCACCTCTTGGAAGAATTGGCAATCACATTCCACCTAAGGCTCCTCTTAGACTGAGGCTCAGTAAAGCACCCACAATTCAAAATAAAGAGAACATTCCTGTCATGTTGAACAAAGGATCCTCTGGGGCTGATACCAGCAAGGCTGTTGCTGGCAAGGCACGGCGAGTTTCTCTGACTCCTGTGATTCGACACATACCTCTGCAGCCCAAGAGGCGATCCTCACTCGCGGTACTACCAACCCAGAGAGAACAGCTGTCCATATTTCCTGATAAGAGATCAGTGTCCCGTCTGTCCCATATTCAGATGCCAAGGAGATCAATTGCAACATTTAATTCAATTCCAGCAACACCATTAGCAGCTGCTGCACATAAACAGGTTGATGGCACCCCAGAAGCACGGCAATTGAGGAGAATCGAGTTCAGCAGTAGCAAGTTCAGAAGCCCTCCAGCGCTGGCCAGGTTCAACTCAAGGAATAACGCCTTGTCACCTCAGCAGAAGCTGCGGCTAGCATCTGGCTCAGGAAATGCCAGCAAAATATGCTTCAGTGTTCAGAAGAGAGTGATCCTAGGTTCACCTGCTCCAGTGAAAAGCAGTCTGCTCTCTGGTACTGGCATCTTCAATCCAGCTCTGCGCGAGAAAATGATGGCGGCGAAAATAGGGAATGCGCAGCGCGTGTTCAACACCAACAGGAGGAAGTCTGTCCTCTGAAGTACCTTTTCCAGACCAGAACTGAAGACCAATGTTTGGATGTTCAAACAGTGATGCAGAGTAGGAATGTTGACGATTACTTTGTTTAACCCGTTGAAAGCCATCCATCTGTACTCGTGGCTTTGTGTTGATAAAATGTCTGTGATAAGGGTTGTACCCATTCATCAGTTCTTTTCTTAAAATGATTGATGTTAGTGTTCCTTGATATTTTTTTATTGTATAAATTCGTTACAGTTGCAGTAATCCGGTTGGTACAGACCATCTGTTACAACTAGGTAGTGATCTTGGAAAGTTGGAATTATGCGTGTGAATTTTTGGAATCATGCTTGATCAGTACTATTATCATTCGTTCATTGCACAAAATGTGCCAGTACTGAGTAAAAGATCACATAATCAACTGTGTAGATAATCCATAGATATTACTTGTGTAGTACTGAAATCATGATGTTAGTATTCAACATAATCACTGAAATCATGATGTTACAGTATTGAGCTTGGTTAGATTGAATAATGTTCAGACTTGTTGCCTTTCAATAAACTGGTGAAAATTCAAACATCGTGGTTCAAAAGAATTACAGTGGTACAATAAAAAAAGAAGGGCCCTATCATCCAAAAGCTCCAGAACAGTTAAACACAATCTGAAGCACAATTGTTTACTCTTGAAAGAATTTCTAGTGGTCCTAACCCTTGGTGAAAAATGTAGGATGTAAAATCAAGTTGGTCAGCTACATCCTTGGAGAGCCTGACTGCTGTACCGCATCAGCTCGCTCTTGCAAGACTCGTCAATGCTACTGTTGCGACTCAAATCTTTAGTGCTATTGACGCCGTGAACTTGTTGAATAGGTCTATCTATTACAAGAACCATTGTTTCTTTTTCCAATTGCAAGCAGTAGCTTCCGAACGTCTCTAAATCCACTTTCAGCCTGAAGTCCAGATTGAACAACAAATCCAGCTCAAGTCGGTTCATCTCTACTGTGCTGATTCCCCCAACTCTAGCATAGAATGCATTGTTGAAAAACCTGCAAGAAATGTATTCAGAAAGTTATTGGGAAGCAATGTATGTAATATCTAAGATTTATCAAAGGCGTAGATCATGCTACAGCGTACTACAAAGCAGATGCATATATAATGTAACTGAATAGCAGATGAAGGGAATTCTTACGCATCATCTGTAAATTTGGCAGCAACCACCACAGATGTAATTAGCAAGCGATGAACGCTAAGGGACGTCATGTACACATGTGGCTGCTGTAGATATCTCTCCATGTAGATGAGGGCCAACACAAAGCAAGATGGGCTGCACTCTGAGTACTTGAAGATGCGCTCTGCATAAAGCTTTATACTAAGATCTGGAGCCCTGTGACCATGAAAGATGGTGCTTGAATCCTTTATCTTATTGGAATCTAGTAAGTCTTCATTCTTCTGAACTGATCTATCAAGATAAGCCGCCAGAAGCAACAGAACCTTGGGGTATTCAGTGTTGTTTTTCTTTGACTGTGATACTGTCAAACCCAACGACAGGTAGCTCTCTTCATGTTTGTCGCTTTCATCAGTTGTGAATGTCCCCATACCCATATCCAGACATTAGAACTGCAAAAGATAATGAAGTTGTTACCCAACAAATTTTCAGTTCAACAAAAAGTTCATAAGGTCAAGATGCAACTAATGAAAAAAAAAAACTTGCCTCATTTTATAAATTAACATAAAAAAATGAAGGATGTGAGATTTCGATAACCCAGTTAAGTTGCATAGGCCATGGAATTGCAAAAAAAGAATACGTAGGATGAAGAGACAACAAAAGATTTTCGAGGTCTCCAAGTGCTTCCATAAAATAGGCAATTAGCTTTCTATAACACGCAATATACTCATAGTGCAATTTCCAAGTCGACAAACTCTGAAATATGTGGCCAAGTAGCACAAAAAATGCAACAGCACGAAGCTGTTTCATAGTAATCACTAATCAACGATGTCAACTACTAGTAGTCGGGTTTCATACCCACTTTGGCACATTATTGATTATTTTCGCCTCTCCCATGATCTCATCCTGACTTCCTGAAAAAAAAAATCCTACTGTTTGGTATATTTACCTCATTTATAAATCCAAATCACAGTAAAAAAAAAACGAAACGGGTAAAGATTTGGCAGGGAATAGCTGCGCGATGCCTCTGCGCCCAAATCTATTCCAAGAACTTCGCCCAATCACACGCCAACAGGTAAAACTTCTGCTTCTTGCACGCACCTAAATTGGTCCGAAATCGACTAAAAGAAGCAGGAATACAACGAACTGGGAAGAAGAGACACGAAAGCCAGGATCGCATCTAAAACCCAAATGCCGCAGATTTGAGCTATAGCTCTGTAAGCTCAGATCTAACACTAATCGAGAAAGGGAAGAGAGGGGAGGGAGTTGAAGGGATGCATATGGATTCGTACAGCTCGCTCGAGCTTCAGCTTGTGGTAGTCTGTGGGGGAGGATTTGCCTTTGAGGCTTCAGGCTTGCGCTCGGGCCTCTCGCACTCTTCGACTCTTCCTCCTTTTGGGAAGAGCAAGCAAGCTGCTGCTCCTTGGATGCTGAAACCTGGAAGAGCAAAGATGCAGGATGTAACAGAGCGAGAGAGAGAGAGAGAGAGAGAGAGGAGAATTCTTTTCTTTTTATTTTTATCTCCAACATATGGCATAATGGCATGTCATCATCTGCTGACACTGATAGTAACATTAGCGTGGCTTCTCTTTATCTTGTAACCTGCTAATCTACCGTCATCTTACTAGTAACCTGCCAAGTAGTAGTATTCCCCTTTTCTTTTACGCATTTGACTTTTATATACACATGCAAAAATTTGCAAATATATAAAAATATATATCATGTTCAGAATACTTTTAGTACTAAAGCGAATCATAACAAAATAATCAATAATTACATTTTTTATATAATAAGATAAATGGTTAAAATCATATAAAAATCAACGACATAAAGAAACGTAATGAGTATTGGTTTTTTCGAAACAGGGGCCACCACATACTCTCGTATTAACATACATACCGGGGGTTTATAAAACCGATGGAAACCGGCGGAATTCTCAGACTAGATCAAAATACAAACCACCTAGTTTTTCGATTAAGTTCAAAAAAAAATCCAAACTAAATTTTAAAATTTTAGCGAGATTTGTATGGATTTTATTGGTTTTTGTCAGTTTATCAATGGTTTTCGTACAATCCCAAGGTATAGATCATGAGCAGTTTTTATCTGATAATGAATACATTCACCTCTATAAGACGTACCCATACATATTCTACCCATCTTCGAGGGAGTGAGCATATTCTACCCTACTCAATACATCAGAAATATTCTTAAGCGAAAGAAACAAAATTCACGTCTCAAAATTGAGAATTCCTTTTGCCAATACACACGAAAATTAATACGCTTCCCATAAAACTCATGCGTTGCAAACTTGCAAAAACGAGTGTGGAAAGCAAGGCGCATTGTTCCTACCTTTGTTACTGTCCTGGTTGTGATGATGCGATATCGCCTGCCGGTGATACAGAGGATCAGTGGAGGGTGGGCAAAGGAGCACGCAAGGTTTATTAGGGGAACGGCCACTCAGCTAGGGCTTTCACTAATCACTAGTACCTATCATTAGCCAGATCTGCTGGTGTTTTTTTTTTTATGGTGGAGAGGTATATATAAAAAAAAAGCGCTCACGAGGATACGAGACGAAGGCGAAGAGCGGCAGGAGAAATTGGAAACCGATGCGTTCCCTCTGCTCTGCACATAAAGCTTCGTAATAGTCGACTAATCGTAGTGGTATCCTAATCGGAAAAGGAAAAGATTATCCAAGCCGGGATCGACTTGTGGTAGGGCCAACGCCGACATCACGTTACTACATCGAAAGTGAAAGCATGCCTTTTTTAGGCGGAAATTAAAAGCATGGTAATGAGGGCACGTAAAATGGTCTTTATTAGCCGTCTCTCTTTATTGCTATGCAGACATTTGGTGACGTGGAAGAGAGAGGAAGAAGGAAAGAGGAAGATGGTTGCTACGCATAACAACGATATAAAGTCGACTCTTAGCATTTATTAGGAAATTTTTTGTTGCATTGAGTCTAATAAATGAAAGATGACTAGTAAAAAAGTATTTTGGTACATTAATAGTTAGAGACCGTATTATCTTAACTATTGTAACGTGATAGTCTCTAATTAACGTAGAGACCATACCGGTCTTTACCTTTGTACTTGCCCTAATTGTTTGGACAAAAACTGGGCAAGAATATAGGATGCATGCCCAGTGTTCGTAATCCCGACACTGCTAAAACTGGCCTCATCAGATTTTGGAGAATCCGTTGATAAAGAAACAATCCGATAAAATCTAGATAAATCCAGTCAACAATTTAAATTCACTTTGACTTTTTTTTTGAATTTGACAAAAAAAACCAGATGGTTTGTGCTTTCAACCTGGTCCGGAAAGTCATAATTTCTGTCTTCCACCGAAATCACAAACCCTGTACATGCCCTATTGCACTAGAGCATATTGAAACTTCATATTGAAGTAGCATATTGGCCCTACGTAAAACAATAGCGCATGATTAGTTACATATTACCCATTATAATTTTTAAAAATAGATTTGTTAGTTTTGAAAAGACTTGATATAGAACTTTTATACAAAACATAACGTTTACTCCCTCTGGTTCTATATTAATTGACGTTTTGGACAAGGTTGAGGTTAAACTTTTATAACTTTGACATCAATAACTTTAAAAATATTTAGTTTAAAGAAACTATAAAAACATATATAGATTTGTCTTTCAAAACACTATAATAAAAGTAAACATGCATTTATTTATTGTATATATTATAATAGAAAAATAAGATCAAAGGTATGTCTCGTAGAGCGTGTCATTGTCCAAAGCGTCAATTAAAATGAAACCGGAGGGAGTAACAGTTTAGAAAGCGTTTTATAGAAGTTGTAATATAGAGTTGAAGTTTGGAAGTCAATGCCCATGCATTTTTTCTACTTGAGCATTTCAAGTGGTAGCTTACCTAGAAAACTTGGGTGGTTGGTTCATCGAAATTTTAGTGTTCTCAGAATTCAGACATGCGAAGAGGTTAGTTACTTAACGGAACATTAGTGGACAACACGACACCATTTGCGCATTGCTTATGGGGCTTGGTCAGTTGGTTGATACTACTATACTAGTAGTAGTATTGTTCTAAATATCAATCGGCTGATATTATTGTTTCTATGTCAGAATATTTCCAAGAAGATCACAGAAGCAAACAAATTTAAATAGAGATACAGAAATTATTAGAGCAGGGCAGAAAAATAAATCCGGCTATTCTTCCGCCGAATATCCAGTGGGACAAAGACAACCGATTAAGCCGCTGACGAGATGGCGGCGCCTGCCACCGTATTTGTCCCCGTCTACCGACGTCAGGCTGGACCGCAATACAATCCATATGCATCTACTGCATATCAGTATATACATGGACCATGACGAGGGACAAGTTGGGAGAAAACGCCAATCTGATTAGCATTTCTGCATTGTTAAACAACACGAAGGAGACGAAACTGATTGCAACTACAGCACTAATACACAGATCGATCTTATCCTCTGCATCATCAAAGAGACGGACATACACGGAGCTCTGGACTGGGAAAGTGGCCCTAAACTCGGTGACTATGCCAAGGCGAAACGAAGTAAACCTATCCCAGCCTAGGCTGGTCCGAGACATGGCTGGCTAAGCCATATGCTCTTACCATGATTTGGGCTCTGTTTTAGTCGAATAAAAGGATGTTACAATGTTGTTGGTGCCATCGAATGCCAATGTCCAACGCCAGAAAAAGAAACTTTTAGCTGTACAAGATCTCCCGAAGCGACTGTCAGATGTGTGGGTGGTGTCAAGGATTGTGGAAGGGGCACGGACTCATGGCTGCGCATTCCTGTGGCTTGGCCTTAGCGCCTTAGCGAAGAAGTTGCGGAGCTCTGGGATGACACGCTGGATCAGCTGGCTTGACCTGCATTGCAAAATGGCATGGCAAATGATTTCTGTTACCTAAAATGAGTTACATAACACAAACATTTGGACCTAGGAACAGGACACTAGGTGAGGAAGTGTACCCAGATTTGACGCAAATCTTTTCAAACTGCTCCAAGATAAATAGGACACATGTATGTCTGAGTGACATTGCATGAAAAGCTTCAGATAGGTCATACATGTCAGAAACGTTGTCTACATTCACATCCTGCAAGGCAGATATATTAAATAAGACCAAGCCAGCATTTTGAGCATAGCATACAGGTAACAATCCTAATTACCTGCGCAATTGTATATTCACACAGACGTTTGAGGCCTTCTAATAGATACTGATCAGCAGCTCTAAGAAGATCCTGAGAGATATCGCTAGTTACTTCCACTGAACCTGTATAGATAAATCTGCATATACCAAATAGGATATTCAGACTCTAGTTTAGCAGGCATTTGCCCACAAACCAGAAAAGAATAATAACAATTACAGATATGTGCACAGAAGCAAAGCGTCCATGGCCAAGGAGGAAGAGAACTCAAAGCTGACTTACCTCATCATGAGTTCAAACACATTCCATCTGATATTTGGAATTTCTATGTCTCTCGCGTCCTTTTCCTGGTTAAGAAAAATAGTATTCGAGTCAAGACACATTGAGGTTCTTTAAAAAATGAAAAAATATACCTCAACAAGAATTGTTCCACTAAGAAACAAATCCACATGTACCAAACGAAAAAAGAAATGCTACACAAGACTCACCCTATATCCGCCATCAAACATTGCACGAAATGCATCCGAAGAAGCAAGTAATGCAATTCTATGTGCATAAAAGCGCTTTCCTGGAGACAACAGGAATATGATTTACATGGATTCTATGGAAAAGATCGAAGTATCTAAAGTGACTTTCTGGTGACAACTGGGTCCACAGATAAAATACCAACCTTCCACCAAGAAGGTAACATCTGAAAGTGTCGAACTGTTCACATATTGCTCACCAAGATAAACCTACAATGAAGAAAATACATTAAGTATCAGGGATTGCCAGCACTGTTGATGGACCAATTGCTCCAAATGATATATTCGAATCCAGCATTGCACAAACTAGGTTTTACTGAGATAACACCTTATTAATAGGACTGACTGCTAATTAGGAACAGACTATCCGGCATATAAATTCAGATGGCAGTATATCTGAATTCTATGTGCGCTATGCTCTGAAGGCTGAGGATAAAAATAATCCATAGAAATGCACAGATGCATACATACTGCCTGAGTGAATTCAAATCTTGCAACAACTTGGTCATGTCTGACAAAGTTCCTAAAAGTTTTGTCCTACAAAAGCCTAACAAAGGAAATAAATGCTTGGTTTGCTCAGAAAGCAGATGGCCTGAAGGTCACACATCTTAAAAGACATGAATGGGAAATCATGCATAGTGTTGACTAGGATGAAACGTATATAAATAAGTGTGAAAGTGTGACGAGGCTGTTGTGCAATTTGCGAGATGAAGCACCATTTATATCAGTATTTATGACAGATGTTTCTATTATTTAGTTTACATGAGCCATGGGGAATATCAGTCAATCATACTTCTAGAATTTCATGGCAACAGTTGTACCACCAATATCATGATAAAAACTTTGAAATT